TTCTGCCCAGCTACTTCACTGCCTGCCTGACCAATCAGCCAATCAGAGAAACATATACACAGAAGGACTTCCCCCATCATCCTTCTTACATCTGAAAGCTAGACTGCATGAAGAAAAAGTTTCCTTATCAAATGACAGTCACCTCGAGAGTCAGGGTCAGTGCTCTATGGTTCCTCTGGGTTCATCAGTTTCAAGGGGATAAGTGAGTCACCTCCCTAGCATGACCACTACTGGGGAGAATAGATGGGAGAATTTCACTTCTGTCCTTTAGTTCTATGCTCAATTTTTGAAAATCAGGGTAGCATTTTGAAATACTAACTACTATATGGCCACTTAAAATCATGATCATTGCTTGTGGCTCTAGGTGAAATGGAGTAAGCACATTCTGTGCCTCCTCTCCTTGAAAACATATGAAAATTGCAGACAGGATAATTGGAACAGTTATATGAGAATCCCAAAATGTGAATAATGGCAGGTGGATTTATAAAAAACAGAATTTAAATATTTATAAACCTGTGTGGGTTTACATTAAAAATTTGTTCCATCCACCAACAAAATATGTATTTGCTTTTAAATTCACATAAACATTCAAAAAGACAGACCACATCCAATGTCATAGGCAAACTGAAACTGAGAGTGAGGTGTTTCCAGACTCAGGGAGATCCTCCCTGTCTCAAATTAAAAAGTGGGGTACAGAACTAAATAGACAGTTCTCAACAGAGGAATCTAAAATGGCTGAAAGACACACAAGAAAGTGCTCCAAATCCTTAGCCATCAGGGAAATGCAAATCAAAACAACTCTGAGATACCATCTGACTCCTGTCAGAATGGCTAAAATCAAAAACACCAATGACAGTTTATGCTGGAGAGGATGTGGAGAAAGAGGAACACTTCTCCAGTGCTGGTGGGAGTGCAAACTTGTAAGACCACTTTGGAAATCTTGAGGGGACTCCTCAAGAAAATGGGAATGAGTCTACCACAAGATCCAACAATTCCATCCTGGCAATAAAAGAAATTTAAATGTGACACAACAAAAACTTTGTAATATACTAAAAGAAGTTCTGTGTGGGAAATTTGGAACTCTTAAGGGCCTTCATTAAAAAAAATCAAAAAAGAGCACAAATAAATTATTTTTTGATGTAACTCAAGAATTTGGAAAAACAAGAACAACCAAATCCAAACACAGAAACCAGCAAAAGATAATAAAAACAAGAGGGAAAACTAATGAAATAGAAACAAACAAATAATCAACAAATATAAGAGCTGGCTCTTAAGAAAATAAGCAAGAATGACAGATCCTTGGACCAGCTAACCAAAAGAAAGCCACTATCCCTGATGACCATATGTAATAGCTAGTTTGTATGACAGTTGACACAAGGCCAAAGTCATTTGGAAGGAAAGAACCCCAAGTTGAGAAAGTAGCACCACCAGATTGGCCTGTGGACAAAGCCTCTGGTGAATTTCCTTGATTGATATAGGAGGGCCCAGCTTACTGTGGGCAGAGCCATCCCTTGGCCCATATGGTCATGGATACTATAAGAAAAGGGGTGTTTGGTCATGGTGTTTTATCACAGCAATAAAATTAGTAATTAAGACACATAGATGCAGAAATCTTCAATAAAATACTTGCAAATCATATACAGGCGCATATCAAAAAGATCATCTACCATGATCTGATGGGGAATGCCCTTCTGTATATGTTTCTCTTATTGGTTGGTGAATAAAACACTGGTCAATGGAAGCAGGAAAATAGGTGGGACTAGGAGATGAGAATTCTGGGAAAGTCAGGTGGAGAGAGACCTCTAGAGATGCCATGTAGTGGAGGAAAGAGTAACAGGTCAGGATCCTTCTTCAGTAAGATAAGACCATGTGGAAATACTTAAGGTTAATAATTAAGACAGACCTAGCCAATAAGAAGCCCAAGCCATCAGCCAAGTTTAATAATTACTATAGCATCTCTGTTTATTTGGGGCTAAATCGGTGGGACCTGGTGAAATGAGAAAACAAGCAACAATGATCAAATTGGCTTTATCCCAAAGATTCAGGGATGGTTCAAAATAAGTCAATAAATGGGAGAAGTCATTCAAATAGACTTAATGGATACAGAAAAAGCATTTGTCAAAATGCAACAAAGCTTTATGATAAAAGCAATAAAGAGAGTAGGGACTGGAGGAAATATGTTCCAACATAAAAGCCTGTGTATGACATATGACATACATAGCCAACATTATCCTAAATGGGAAAAAAAAAAAAACCACAAAGTGATCCCATTAAAGTCAGGAATAAAACTGGTCTGATCAGTTCCCCACTTCTTTCCTTGTGATAATGCTTGAAGCACAAGCTATAGCATTATCACAAGGAAATTAAAGAGATACAAGTAGGAAAATAAGTCAAACTATCCATTTGCAGTTGATGTGCTGTTATCCCTAAGAGATCCGTACATCCCACCAGAAAACTTCTAGAAACAATCGACAATTTTCAGCAGCATAGCAATGTACAGACTCAACTTAGAAGAAGCAGTAGCTTTTCTATACACCAACAACAAACATGCTAGAAAGAGATCATGGATATACTCCTATTCACAATAGCCTCAAAAAATAAATTATGTAGAAATAAACACAACCAAGGAGGTAAAAGACATCTACAATGAAAAATCTTAAATCTCTGAAGAAAGATATTGAGAAAGACACTAGAAGATGGAAAGACCTGTGGTCATGGGTTGGTAGAATTAATATTGTAAAAATGGCCATTCTACCAAAAGCCATTTACAGACTCAATGTATGCATAGTTAAAATTTCTATCTCATTCCTACAAAAATAGAATGAAAAACAAATCCTAAAATTTACTTGGAACCAGAAAGGACCCCAGATAGCCAAAGCAGTCTTGAGGAAAGAAAAATAACAGAGGGATTGCCATTCCAGATTTCAAGATGTATTACAGAGCCATAATAATAAAAATGTGGTACTGGCCCAGAAGACATGTCAGCCACTGAAACAAATACAAAGACATATGAGTACATATGACTGCGGGTATCTGCTTTGTGACAGAGATGCCAAAACATTTACTAGAGAAAAGGCAGCATCTTCAATAAAAGGTGCTAGGAAAACTGTGTGTCCACTTGCAGAAGAATGCAGAGTGTCCACTTGCACAAAACTCACTGCAACAGGATGAAGACCTCAATGTGAACCCTGAAACACTGAGACTGCTAGAAGAAAACATAGGCAGTATCCTATAAGGTAGAGTTATAGGAAAGGACTTTTTGAATAGGAAAATCAAGGCCAACAACTGATAAGTAGGGCCTCATAAAACTAAAAGGTTTCTTTACAGCTATGAAAACAATCATTTGAGTAGAATGGGGGAGAATCTTTTCTGGTTATTCATCTGATAGAGGATTAATATCCAGGATATATTTTTTAAAAAACTCTCAAGATAGAGACAAAAAAAACAAACAAACAACCCATTCAAACAATAGTTCATGGATCTGAACAGAGAGCTCTCAAATGAAGACATAAAAATGTTCAAATACTGATCATCATCCTTAGCAATTAGGGAAAGGCAAATCTAAATAACAGACCTCATCTTACTCCAGTCAGAACGCCTAAGATCAACAAAACAACTGACAACAAATGCTGGAGGAACAGGCAGGGGAAAGGGAACCTTCATTCACTGTTATTGGAAATGCCACCCTGAAAATCAATATGGAGTACCCACAAAAACCTAAAATAAATCCACCATATGACCCAGCTCTAACACTCCTTGACAAATGTCTAAAGGACTTAACATCCTGTTCCAGAGATACTTGCTCTGCCATATTCACTGTGGCTCTATTCACAATACCTGTCGAATGTAAACAACCTAGGAGTCCTTCAGCTAACAAATGGATAATGAGAACATGAAATATGCAGGCAAATGGATGGAACCAGAAAAGATCATGTTGAATGAGATAATCCAGACTCAGAAAGACAAACACCACACATTCTCTCTCATCTGTGATTCCTAGCTCCAAGTTTTCAGATTTAAGTATAACCCAGAGTAGTTAGCAGAAACCAGGAAGTAAAGAACTATGGTGGATGAGACCTAGAGAGGGGAACAGCAGGATATAAGTGACATCAATATTTAATTGCAGAATAACTGAAAATGGCTTCTACCATAAAGGATGAAATCATGTCATTTACAAGAAAATGGTATATCATAATCTTTAGAGAAAAAAAGCCAGGCTCAGAAAAGCAAATATTTCATTTGGAACCTAGATTTAAAAACAAACCTAAAACATGAAAGTAGATGGGGACTATTTGTAAAGAGGGACGGTCTGTAAGAGGGAGGAGGAATAAGAGAATGCAACTGGGGGTTGAATATTACCAATATACAAGAACAAAATAATAGCTAGGGGTGTACTAAGTGTTAGAATGTTGCCTGTGAGCACTGGATGCTGGCCTTAATTCCCAGAACTGCAAAAATAACTCATTAAAAATAAGATTTTGGCCGAGCATTGGTGGCGCACGCCTTTAATCCCAGCACTCAGGAGGCAGAGGCAGGCGGATCTCTGTGAGTTTGAGGCCAGCCTGCTCTCCAGAGCGAGTGCCAGGATAGGCTCCAAAGCTACACAGAGAAACCCTGTCTTGAAAAACCAAAAATAAATAAATAAGATTTTGGCTGGGTGTGGTGGCTCATGCCTTTAATCTCAACAGAGGCAGGTGGATCTCATTGTATTCAAGGCCATCCTGGTCTACAGAGTGAGTTTTTAGGCCAGTCAGGGCCACACAGTGAGATCTTGTTAAAATAATGATAATATTTTAGAAAAGAAAGATACTTTATTTTTAACATAATGATATTAAAGTGATGTAATTGTTGAAAGATTTCAAGGAAATTTTGTAAATGTATGTTTTCAAAATATTCAGAACCTTGAAAATATTTAACATGCTCACTATACTAAACATTAGAGCATATGTAACATACCTGCACATCCATATATATATTTCTTAATCCCTTTTTCCTGACAGACAGGCAATTGACAGAAGGAATGAGCAGGAGGGGAAGAGCCGCACTGACTCTTCAGTGACCACCATCTCAGATGCAGAAGGTAATGGAGCTCAGATCCCACAGAGGACAACGGGAATGGTGTTCCCATATCAGCAGTTCTGTAGACTAATGATGAGAAACCTTAAGCATTTCTAGTGAGGGAAAGACTGCTGGTGACTGACAGAATAGAAAATGAATTATCTGATGAAAGCAAATTACATCACTGATTATGTGAATAAATACAGGTACATTTGAAGACCTGTTAAAATGTTGACTCTAATTCAGTAGGTCTAGGGTAGGACCCTTGAGTCCATATTTCTAGCAAACTCATATGACACATATGTGGTAAGCCTGGAACTTACACTCAAGTAGTCTCACTCTTTGGATCTCTGGGAAAGAGCTTTGGCTCTTGTCCAATTTAGCAGAACAGCAGTATACATAGTAAAGAGGTAACATAAGCAACTATGTAAGAGACTCCCTAAAAGTGTTCCAGGGTGGTGGTGCACGCCTTTACTCCCAGCACTCAGGAGGCAGAGGCAGGTGGATCTCTGAGTTTGAGGCCAGCCTGATCTACAGAGTGAGTTCCAGGACAGCCAGGGCTACACAGAGAAACCCTGTCTCAAAAAAACAAAAACAAAAAGTGACAGAGCGATCAATCCCTGGCAGCCAGCATGGCCAGCTGAGCAGCTCTTGGAAAGCAGCAGCATTTCAACATGCAGAATAAATACTGTAAACAATGTGGGAGAGGAAGAGTGTGTGGCGTGCAAATGATCTGTGTCCTCTCACCACTTTCCCATAAAGCATGGCCCACCTATTCTGTCTCTTGCTCCACTACACATTGCAAAATGAAGAGGTGCAGAACTGAGTACCTTAAGGAAAGGGAATCTACTTAGATCACAGATCAAGAGGACAGAGTATAAGATCTCGGAGCTTCAGGAACTGCATTGTCTATACAGAAGCCTGTGTGTATAGGTGTGCAGAGACTTTCACTGCCCAACCAGAGCCTTGGCATGTCAGTGAAACTCGCCTGCCTTGCTGTGAAGATACCCTGTAAGAAAATAAGCTGGGCAGGCAGATTTCTGGGAGTTCAAGGCCAGCCTGTCTGTATAATGAATTTCAGGACAGCCAGGACTACACAGTGAGATCCTGTCTCAAAAACATATTTTTAGACAGGAATAATGTGGGCATTCTCCAGTTAATTGAGAATGGACAATGAAAGTCCTCGAAGTCCAAAGAGCTAGGCATTCTCTTGTCATTGGCATTTTTAGACTAGTTAAAATCTGGCTATTGTTTTTTCTAATGTTTAAAACATTTTAATTTATTTGTGATTATTTATTAGATTTTCAGTCATTCATATTGTGATCTCATTTCAGGAGGACTGAAAGAAGACTGCAGGGGACAGGTAAAGTGTCTGTGAGAAACTGTACTTAACCCTGCATGCTGTCTGTTGGCCTACATTAACCAGACTATATTAACAACTAGAAGATAACTATTTAGCTTTGTATTTTTAGTAAGACTTCCTCTAAAGTCAACAATAGTTGGAAATGAAATAGGGTGGGAGCAATCTGTACCTCTGAATCTATGTGTGTCTATGTATGTCACTCTTTACTAGTGGATGGTTGAAATTATTCCAAAGTCTTGAAAAGATTTAGCTGAGCAAATATATCTAATACTTTTTATTTCATATAATTTTATAAGAAATGCTTATAAAATATCATTTCTGACAAGTGGTCCTAAGTCCCTCTCTGTATTCTATCTCTAACATCCTATCTAAGCTCATCAACCCCCAAAAAATGTTATTAAAGAAAAAATACTTCATAGTATTATGACTAGTATGCAAACAGCCATGTGAACTGACTCATTATAAGGCATCAGTATGAATGAAGGCTATAGTAATGGCATCATTTTGGACACCTCATTATCATCTCTTTAAGTCTAAAGTTCATTTGTAAAACATGCCGAATAGGATTGTCATGAAGTTATTTTCAGAATGAGTGTGGTAGAAGTTTTTTAATTGTATGTAACTGTCCTAATAATAGGAATTATCAACACCATTACTTCAGTCTACTTTTTTGCATTTTTGTAATAGTTTGTTTTTAATTTTTAAATTCATTCTGTAACCCAGGGTCAGTGGAGCTCACTTGGTAGCCCAGACCAGCCTCAACCACAGGGCAATTGCCCTTCCTCATCTTCTCACGTGCTTCAATTACAAGGACTAGATCTACTTGGTTCAACCAACCTCTTTATAGTCATACCTTTATTAACATTATTTTTTAGATCTGGATTTAATTAAGAGGAAAGCAGGCTACAGTTCAATGAATATGCATGAATAATCTACATTCAGTTTGCTAAAACTTACAGAAATTAATCAATTTTACTTATACTAATTTAAGATATCACTTTGCAATTTCTTTTAGAAATGGAGCTTTATATTTTTTTATTTTGTGTGGGTGTGGGGGTATAGACAATGACATTCATGTGCCACAATGTGCATGTGGAAGTCAGAGGATAATTTGTGAGACTACTTTCTCATTACATTGTGCAGATTCCAGGGATCAAACTCAGATCATCAAACTTTACAGCATGTACTTTTACTCACTGAACCATCTAGCTTGATATAATATATATGTGTGTGTGCACGCAAATGTGTGTGTATTTGACTAGAGTTTATATGTTGTTTTGTAAAGGAATTTTCACTTGATATACTGTATATTTTGACCATATTTATTCCCTTTTCTCCCCTTGTCTCTAACTAGTCCTCTCCCTAGTCCTCTCCTTCCATGTCATATATAACATATAACCATGAATATACATATTATGTTTACATATATACATCTATATATGATTTAGACTCCACTAGAGAGAAAAAATGGTTACATATTGATGATCTCCTGTTCCATCCATTTTCCTATTAGTTACATAACTTCATTTTTTGTGACTCACTAAAGCCCCTTTATGTACCTATACCACACCTTATCTATTTATCTCTGAATGAACATCTGGTTGATTGCCTAACTTGGCTGTTCTAAATAGTGCTTCAATAAACATAAATATTTTCTTGTAACATAACAGACTATATTCTTTCACTGTAATGAAATGCCTAAGGCTGCATACTCTATAAAGAATATATTTTAAGCTATTGTATGGAAGCTGAAAGGACAAGATTGCATAACCCCATCAACTCAGCATCTGGCAAGGGCTTCATGGAACATAGCATCTCAATGGCAGGAGACAGACAGACAGACAGACAGACAGACAGGCAGACATACAGACCAAAGAGATTGGAGTTAGGCTTGCTCCTTTACAACAGTCCACTCTGCAAATTCAGCATGAGGCTGTGTGGAGAGCAGGCCTCCAGTGGCTTATCACCTTCACTGATCCTCAATCTTAAAGGTCCTACAACCTGATAAGGCTTTCAGTAAATCAACCTTTAGGGGACAAACCACATCCACACCATAGCAATAATGATTTTTCCACATTTTTATCACCTCTTTTCCAACTTCAATTGGATGTACCCAAACTTGCTCATCCTGCAAACTGGTGCTTGTTAAATAAGAAAGGCAAAGAGATACCATTGGTAACATGGAGGAAATCTACCATAAAATGGCAGTGCCGTGTGAGGAAAACCACAGCACTAAGTGACAAGAAGGCCCAAATCCAGCTATAGCAAAGCAGCTCTTAACTTGCTGTTGAATCTACTTAGCAAAGTCTGGGTGCATGGAAGGGAAAGTGACCTGGTCTCCCGCACTGGGGGACAGCCATAATGCTTGGCAGGTACTTAATCATATGTAGAAATCAATTGAGAAGCCCAGTACACCCTTCTGTTGCTGTAAATTACTACAAGGATTAACATGTGCTTTCATTCTGTCAAGGATTAGCTGTACAGCACACAGTAAAGTCGAGGTCAGCCTTGCTGCAACTGCAGCTTCTAGAACCAAAAGAAAGAAACAAAGCAAAACCACCAAGTCTCCAGTTTTTATAAGCCAATAGTCCTCCTTCTACAGGGGGTTTCCAGAGTAAGAAGTAATAGTAAACACGGGAAGCATCCATGCTTAAGAACATCCATTGCAGGGTTATTTATAAAAAGAAGAAATCAGAAATATATAAATTTAACTTAAAAGGAATGGTTAAGCTGGCCGTTGGTGGCACACGTCTTTAATCCCACCACTTGGGAGGCAGAGGCAGGCGGATATCTATGAGTTCAAGGCCAGCATGGTCTACAGAGCAAGTTCTAGTACAAGTTCCAAAGCAATACAAAGAAACCCTATCTTGAAAAGCCAGGAAAGAAAGGAAGGAAGGAAGGAAGGAAGAAAGAAAGAAAGAAAGAAAGAAAGAAAGAAAGAAAGAAAGAAAGAAAGAAAGAAAGAAAGAAAGAAATGGTTAAGCAATAGTCTACAATGGACTAAAACTCAAATATTAAACTCAAAGATTATGTATTCAAATACTAGCTGAGGATATACCTTAGTGGTAGAGTGTTTCCATAGTGTTAACAGGACCCTGGTTCAATCCCCATCATGACTGTATGTTTGTGTGTGTGTGTGTGTAATATCATTTATTAAAACATATGTGGAAAAATACTTCTTATTGGTTAGCTCTCTCTTAATTAATAACCCATTTTTATTAATCTAAGTATTTCCATGTGGTCTTATCTTACCAGAGACTGCTCCAGCATGTTACTCTTTCAGCAGCTACATGGCATCTCCCTCAAGACCTCTCTCTCTGCGTCCTCTCCCCAGAATTCTCCTGGTCTCATAGCCTTACCTATCCTTCCTGCCTGGCTGCTGCCCAATCGGAGTTTTATTCATCAACCAATAAGAGAAACATATATATTGAAGGACATCCCCCATCAAGATATGAATGTTAGGTTGGTGTTTTACTCTATTTGAACATGGTTTAATTATTTTTATCTGTTTACTTGCAGGACATTGGAGATGTTGGTTCTCTCAGAATGGTTCATTTTGGCTTGGTGTAAATTATTAGAAACTCCAAAAAGAAACCTGCCTTTTTCATATCTTTTATATGGCCCTGATTCAATACAAATCTCCACGTGTGGATTTAATAGAAGGAAAGATGGTGCACGCAGCACAACATAACAATAGCAAAGTGACCCCAAATAGAAGTCCTTACCCACTTATTTTCATAATGTGTGTGCTTCTGAAATGTCAGCATAAGAGGCAGAACATCTAAAGCTCATTCTCCCTCATCTTCTAAGTTTTTCCTCCTTTGGGGGCTGGAGAGATGGTTCAGCAGTTAAGAGCACTTGTTCTTGCAGAAGACCCAGGTTCAATTCCCAGCACCCACATGGTGGCTCAAGGCTATCCATAACTTCAATTTCAGGGAATCCAGTGCCCTCTTCTGACCTCCTCAGACACCAAGCACAGACATGTGTTATGTGCAAAACACTCATGCATATATAATAAAATAAATCTTTACAAAAAATGTCTTCTCCTGGTCTTATTTACATTACCAATAAAATGTTTATTAAGCAAAAGTTTCTGTCCAAACCTCTATCGATGATTCTTTCAATGAGGAACTGGTACCTCTTGCCACAGCACACTGTTGTCTTCCCATGGAAGTGCTGCTTATTGCAGATTTGATCTCCCTCGGCTCAGGCTTCCTCTCAAACATCACAAGGGAGTGCAGATGGCACCTAGCCATTTCTTTCCTAGTGCCCCATGGAAATATGGAAATGTGACCCAGAGAATACATTGGAGGAGGGCACAGCCTCCTGTGGCTGGGATATGCTGTCCTTTGTCTCTGACCCCAAGGCCCACCCATCTTCTCCCAGCAACTATAAGTTGACATCTCTGTAAATTGTGAGCATGAAAGGCCCTTCTATGTCCTCCATGCCCACCATTAGCAGATGATTCGTAGTTTATAACTATAGATGTCTATGAGAACATGAGTTAAACTGTCCAGCTGAGTCTTGTACCTCCTATTCAGCTTTGCCAGAAGATAATGGTAAGGAGGAGAAGGAACTCAAAATTTTCAGTTTGCTAATGTACTGAAAAGTTTTGAGTTTATAATGTTTGAGCCATCCTAAAGACATGTTAGTTTAATTTTTTTTACTATTCCTATCCTTTTTTTCACAGATAATCAAAAGTTGATGAACTTTTTAAAGTTTATCTACATATTTTATGTGCATTGGTGTTTTGCCTGCATGTATGTCTGTGTGAGGGTATCAGATTCTCTGGAACTGGAGTTACAGAGAGTCTTGAGCTGCCATGTGGGTTCTGGGAATTAAACTTGAGTTGTCTGGTAGAGTAGCCAGTGCTCTTAACCACTGAGCCATCTCTCCAGCCCCCAAGTTTACTAACTTTTAAAGAAAAGAAACTGTATATAAAAGGTAGGATTTTGTTAGGATGGAGTCATTTCCTGCAGATATTCTAGCTATCATTCCCACAACCTCAAACCACATTCTTGATATACACATGTCTCTGGAACAATTAACTCAAACATACTAAACTAAATTTACACTGGAGAATCTAGTGTGGGGGCTGGAGAGGTGACTCAATGGTTAAAAGATCTTGTGGCTCTTATAGACAACCTGAGTTTTGAAAAAATCTAAGAGAAATGGATAATTTTCTCCATAGATACCACTTACCAAAGTTAAATCAAGATCAGATAAACAATTTCAATAGACCTATAATCCTTAGTGAAATAGAAGCAGTCACTAAACTCGCCCAACCAAAAAAAGCCCAAGGCCAAATGACTTTAGCACAGAATTCTATCAGACTTTCACAGAAGAGTTCTTACCAATACTCCTCATGTTATTCCACAAAATGGAAACAGAAGGAACATTATCACATTAATTTTAGGAGGCCACAGTTACCCAGATACACAAACCACATAAAGATCCAAGGAAGAAAGAGAATTACAGACCAATTTCCCTCATGAACATAGATGTAAAAATACTCAATAAAATACTTGAAAAGTGAATTCAAGGACACATCAAAAAGATCATCTACCACAATCAATTAGGCTTCATTCCCAGAGATGCAGAGATGGTCAATTACATGAAAATCAGTAAATGTAATCTACCATATAAATAAGGAAAATATCCACATTATCATCTCAATGGATACAGAAAAGACCTTAGACAAAATCTAACACCCCTTCATGATAAAAGTCCTAAAGAGATCAGGGATACAAAGGACATACCTCAATATAATAAAGGCCATTTACATCAAGCCTATAACCAACATCAAATTAATGGAGAGAAATTCAAAGCAATCCCGCTAAAATCAGGAACAAGAGTGTCCACTCACTCCATAATTGTAGCAACTCCACATTAGAGAGGACTAATAATATTCAAAATAAATGAACTCAAGGAATTAGATATCAAAAAGCAAAATACTCAAATTAAAAAATGGAGTACAGATCTGCACAGCATTCTCAACAGAAAAAACCTCAAATGGCTGAGAAACACTTAAAGAATGTTCAACAGCTTTAGCCATCAGGAAAATGCAATTCAAAACTGCTTTGAGATTCCATCTTACACCTGTCTGAATGGCTAAAATCAAAAACACAAGTAACAGCTCATGCTGGTGAGAACGTGGAGCAAGGGGAACACTCTTCCATTGCTGGTGGAAGTGCAAACTTGGACAGACACTATGATAATCAATATGGTAGCTTCTCAGAAAGTTGGGAATTAATCTACCTCAAGATCCAACTATATATATATATATATATATATATATATATCCCAAAGACTCCATTCCACCATTGCAACTTTATTCATAATAGCCAGAAACTGAAAACAAACTAGGTGTTCATCCACAGAAGAATGTATAAAATGTGGTATATTTAAATAATAGACTATTATTCAGCTGTCTGAAAAATGACATCATGAAATTTTCAGGCAAGTTGACTCCCCAAGGAAGGCCTTACCCACTCTGAGGAGTAGATAGGGGATGGGAAGGGTGGAAGAAGGGAAGGGTGGAAGAAGGGGAGGGAGGGGGAACTGGGGTTGGTATGTTAAATGAAAAATAATTGTTTTAATTAAAAAAGAGGAAAAAAAGAAATTTGTAGGCAAATGGATGGAACTTGAAAAAAAATCATCCTGAGGTAACACAAACCTAGAAAGATAAATGTGGTATGTACTTACCTATAAGTGGGTATTAGCAATTAAGTAAATGATAACCAAGCTACAATCCATAGACCAAGAGAGGTTAGCTAAAAGAGGAGGAGTTGGGGGTGGGCACATGCAGCTCCCAGAGTGGGGCAAATAGAAGAGACTTTGGGGCAGGCTGGAGGTGGGTGGGAATGAGAGCGGAGAGTCAGATGAGGGGGATGGGTGGAAGAAGACAGTGTAGGGGGAAGACAGCTGGAATTGGGAGACTTTGGGAGAGGGAATAGAAACCTAGTGCAGTAGAAACTTCCTGTAATGTATGAAGGTGATCCTAATGAAGACTTCTAGTAATGGGAAATATGGAATCTCAACAAGCCATCTTGTCACCAAGTGAGGCTTCCAGTGTCAGGACTGGGTTGCATTCAATTGTGTTGTTGGCAAAGGGGGCCCTTTGGAAATCCTCAAGCAACCCAAGATATTGCTAAGACAAAGGGTTGTTCTCTGCAAACTGGCAGTGGGGGCCTCATTGTTGAGGATAACACCTACAGAACTCACTGAACATGGAGAAGTTGAACTGGTGCCTGCATGGAGCCTTTATCCCTATGTTCTACTCTCTTTAGTGAAGGAAGGTACTCTGAAGGCTATCAAAAGAGAAATGTGGAAACCAACCCAGCCACAAAACTTTTGACCTACAATCTGTTCTGCAATGGTGGCACAGAACTCATAGGAATAGCCAATGCCTGATTTGACTCAAGGGCCACTCCAAAGAAGGAACGTTTAGATTTGGTTTCTCTTGCTGTGAAGAGACACAATGGCCAAAGCAACTCTTATAATGAAAACATTCAATTGGGGTGTCTCACTTACAGTTTCTGAGGTTCAGTCCATTATCATCATGATGGGGAGTATGGTGGCATGCAGGCAGACATGGTGCTGGAGGAGTAGCTGAGAATCCTATTATCTTGCAACAGGAAGTTGAGGCACTGGGTTGTATCCCAAGTGTAGGAAACCTCAAAGCTGCCCCATAGTGACACACTTCCCCTAACAAGACCATACCTACTCCAACAAAGCCACACCTCCTAATAGTGCTACTCTTTATGAGATTATGGGGTTCAATTACATTCAAACTATCACAGACCCCATACCCAACACTGCTTTGGTAACCAAGAACCAGAGATTAGATAGCCCAAAGACCTAGGGTAAAACCAAACACTATTGGTCTAAAACAAAAGTATCAATAATATGATACCTATGGATATTGTGCTCATCAATCAGTGTCTTATCCAGTCATCATCAGGAGGCTGCCTCCTGCAACAGATGGAAATAGATGCAAAGACCTACAGAAAGACATTATGGGGAGAGAGAGTCTAAATGGGAGGCCTTCATCAAATATCTTCCCCCAGAGCTCAAGTAATCTTGCAGAGGAGAAGACAGAAAGAATCTAAGAGCCAGAGAGGGTGGAAGACACCAGAAGAACAAGGTCCCCTGAATCAACTAAGCAAGGTGCATGTGAATTCACAGAGAGTAAGACAGTAAGCACAGGGTCTACATGGGTCTGCACCAGCTCTTTCCCAGGTATGTATGTATGTATGTATGTATGTATGTATGTATGTATATAATAGCTATTAGCTTAATATTTTTATGGGACTCTTATTGTGAGAATAAGTGGGTCTCTGACTCTGGCGCCTGCTCTTGGGACTCTATTCCTCCTGTTTAAATGCCATGTTCAACTTCAATATGATAGTTTTGCTTCATCTTACTATATTCTATTTTGTCATATTTGGTTATTGTCTCCTAGAAGCCTGTTTATTTTTCTAATGAGAGACAAAAAAGGAAATGAATCTGGAGGGGAGGGAGGTGGGAGGAACTGGCAGGAGTCTAGGGAAAGGAATCAGGATATATTGTATGAGAAAATAATGTATTTGCAATAAAAGGGAAAAATACTTTACAGATCCATCTATTTTCTTGAAAATTTCATGTCCTTAAAACTAAATAGTTTAAAAAATGTTGCAACCCTGCAGTGGTGGTGCACTCTTTTAATCCCAGCACTCGAGGGGCAGAGGCAAGAAGATCTCTGTGAATTTGAGGACCTCCTGGTCTATAGAGCTAGTTCCAGGACAGCCAGCACTACACAGAGAAACCATGTCTCCTAAAAAACAAAACAAACAAACAAGCAGATGAAACAAAACAAAAAATAAGTTGGCAATATAAATTGGGCCGTTTAGACTATTCCTAGAGATGTAAAGTGGTGCAATCACTTGAAAACAATGATAGTTCCTCAAAAAACTCCCAATAGAATTACTATATGATCCATCATTACCACTGTCTATGCATGTCTGAGAACTCAAATAACTATCTACACTTCCATGTCAGAA